CAAAATCAGTATCTTTGGCCACCTTTAAAAACTATCTCGTGCATGTCAACTGCCCATTAAGTGAAAGTGGAGTTACTAAGACCAATTTTTGATTTTAAAAGATCTGTGATTTCTCTGATGATTGTGGTGATGAGAGCGATGAACTACCCTCAACTTGCGCAACATATAAGGAAAGATGCAACTTTGAAAGAGACCTCTGTAGCTGGACCCAAGACACTGACGACATCTTTGACTGGACGAGACAAAGTGGTGGAACGACGTCATGGCTGACAGGCCCTGGCAGAGATCATACCACAGGTATGGCAACTTAGCTGTACTAAGCGTGCGTGATCCATCTTCTTTCTAATAGATTTCAGCTTTCTAACAACACCGTAAGTCAAAGAAAACTCAAAACTGTATTTAAGTTTGGTAGGGGTGGGTGGAGGAAGAGAAGTCCAATATAACCAAGTTGAAAAAGCAATGAAACCGCTATGACGCGTGCCACTTACTGGAGGTCCTTGTCGCAAACACGCTCTAAGCTGCAAGGGGTTAACGTCGATTTGATTTTTTTAAAGCTATTTCTGCGAATATCATTTAGGCACGACAAAGGGTTTCTATGTGTACATAGAGACATCATCCCCAAGGAAAGCTAATGAGACAGCTCGATTAAGCAGTGTGGTGTTCAGGCCCTCTGGGCCGAATGACAGTTGTTACCTGCGCTTCTGGTACCACATGTTTGGACAAGACGTGGATTCCCTTAACATCAATTTTAGAACATCGGTGACAGGAACGTTGAAGGGAATCTGGAACTTGACAGGTAAAGAGACGCTGGTTAGGATTTTTTTCTTGGTTTTCTGTAGGGGGCTCGACTTTGTAGTCGCAAATCGCATGCTTGAATCTAAATTTTTCACTTGTAGGCTTCAAGAGCAAGTTAAAAAGCATGGGAAACTACTATGTGGAGGGAATATCATTTTTCACATGCTCTTCAAACACAAGTGTCACATGCGAGACTGAGCCTAGAACTTTGCATTACGATCGCCTCTGCGTTAGTATTAAATATTCAACGACTGTTTCTTCGAGAAACAGTTCATTTGGTTTCCCGAGAACCTCAGTAACTCCCGAGCCGGAGCCCTGGGAAACATCGATTTGTTATATAGCACAATGAAGGCCATAAACACACTAGTGATTGAGGGTTTATAGAGTGTAGGTTTGCTCTTTAATTAGCTCAAAACTTCTTAACTCCCGTTCGTTCCCTTGTAGGTGAACAAGGTGACATCTGGAGGCGAGCCGAGATCCTTTTAGTAAGTGCAGTGAATTTCCAAGTGGTGATTGAAGGAACAAGCGGTCCAGGTTATCAAGGGGACATCGCTCTGGATGACATCTCATTCACGCCAAACTGTCGCCCAGATACCACCGCGACAATTTCACCAGACCCTCCCACTGGAACACCACCTACCGGCTGTGACGTTGGGCAATTCAGGTATGTGGAGGACTGAAGCTTTGAAAAATGAAGAAAAATGAATGAAAAATGAGAAAAATGAGAAAAATGAAGTGAAGTTTGAGAGTCATGCTCTAAAGGTGATGTTGCTTGTTTTTCTTTTTTTCTTTTTGGCTTCTAATTAAACTGCTGCCCCGCATCAAAGCGAGATGGGTGCCTTAGCCTTCCAAATTCTTACACAGTCGGACATTGTTGTTAAACTACTTTTTCTAGTCATTTTCACTGCTAAACAATCCCCAAAATGTCAATTTTCCTTCAGATGCTCGAATGGACAATGCATAAGTAGCAGAAAAGTCTGTAATTTCCGCGCAGACTGTCGTGATAAGTCAGATGAAGTCAGCTGCCCAACGAAATGTGACTTCCAGAAAGACTTCTGTAAATGGACGAACGCTCAGGCTGGAGATCATTATGACTGGATTCGTAACAAGGGTCCAACGCCCTCTAAACTCACGGGACCCTCGGCGGATCACACTCTCAACACATCAACAGGTCAGGTTTATTAATTGAATAAAGCGGAGCAAATTTTTTAAGTAAGGCGAAGTGCAACCGACGGGTGTGACTCCTTCCTTATGTCGCAATTTTCCGTCTCAGTATTTAGCTTTCATATGGTTTACTTGCTGTAAATTGTGCTTCAGGCTACTATATCTACACCGAAGTCACCAACCGCACAGGCTTCCGTGCTGATGCACATTTGGTCAGTCCGTTCTTTAGACAGGCTGGTAAAACTTGTAAGTTCAAGTTCTGGTATCATATGTTTGGTCCAAACATCGGATATCTGCAGGTCTATTATCGTAGGAATTCACGTGATCAACGGCTGTTTAATATCTATGGCAACCAGAACAATCAATGGAAGCAGGGTAGCGTGGATGTTCCAAGATGTGCAAATGACTTCCAGGTGAGTCTTAGTGTCTCGTCTTGCCAGATCGTGGTGCTGTGCTCTTGCACAAGTTAGTCATATATTGCCTCTCACCACCACCCACGAGTATGGAGTTCTCCTGGGTGGAGAGGGTTGGCTTCCTTTCTATGTGGATACGTATCTTATAAGGATAAAATTTTCGCGGCGTGTTGAGTTGTAAGTTCCGTCTCTTGAGCCGGTGTAAAACTGTATCTTTTCATGGAACAACTGGCTACTTTTAACAAACTTTTCCATTTCCCTTTGCAGATGGTTTTTATGGCCAAACACTACTCAGGCGGCAGTCTTGGTGATATAGCCCTGGATGATATCAGTTTTGAGAACTGCGCTCAGCCCCTTCCACCCAGCAGCTGTAGAGGCAGCAATGCATTCCGGTGCGATAGTGGACACTGCATTGATCAGTCAGTCAAATGCGATTTTGAACCGGACTGTTGCGATAGCTCTGAGGAGAAAAATTCGACCTGTGTGAACTACAACAGGTAAAGTGATGTTGTTGTTTTTAACCTGAGATTTATAGGGGAGAGGGCAACGTAGAACTCTGGACAAGTCATTGAAGACCTATATATTATCGTCAATTAGAGTTGTGAGCTTTAAGATCTTAAAATGACCTCCCTTTACGAGATCCATGGTCACGGACTTTTTGCATACTGCTAGGATATGGATGTCGATATGTGATGCTTCTGCGCGATGATTATGTAACTAAAAATTGTAACTTTTATGCCTGGTTATTTGAGTGATAATTGTTGTTATTTGGTGAATGACAAAGACCTACTCGGAGGAAAAGTGTTCGGACCTGCGACCTTCCGATTAGTATTTCGAATGCTTTACTCGGAGCTGTAGGAGTCTCATGGAAGGCTAATTTTGACAGTTACAGCCCATATAAAAGTGTTTTTCTGATTCACTATTTTTTTTGTAAAACAGATGTAACTTTGAAGGAGGCCTCTGTGACTACATGCAGCTTGCAAACGATACGTTTAACTGGAGGAGGCAGTCGGGTCGAACAGGCTCGTACGGAACTGGGCCAACTTATGATCATACTACAAAGTCTCCTCTTGGTATGTCATGTCACAACGGAAACGGTGCAAGAAAATGTTTAGTCTCCGAAGTAACTATAAGCATAATTCGCATAGTTGCTACCTGCACGGCAGCGTGTACCTGAAAATGTACCTCACATGGGCCGCATAAAAAAAATGACGTTGTGACATGCAAAATGTGTCCCCTATAGTGAAAAGAAATTTCGCAGTTGTCTTGACTCTAGCGGTGTTATCTTTGGAACTAACTAGAAGATCGTAACTGTCTGAGGCCAGGGTCGGTTCCTATAAAAAGACTTCTGAGAAGCTTTACTTAAAAAAAATGGTGTTGATGCGGGTCATGTGCTATGGTAACAAAACAAAATAGACAGCATTAAAGAACACAAGGGAACTTAGGCAAAGACGAAAATGCTAGTAGGACAGAGACACTTTGTACAAATCTTAAACTTGATAAGGTGTTTGCCATGTTCACAAAAGTAACACATAATATATCCTATGTTTTGGCAGGCTATTACATGTACATTGAAGCATCCTCGCCGCGCAAGAAGGGTGACAATGCCATGATCGGGAGCGCTGTATTTAAGCCAACATCAAGCGCATGCTTAGTAAGGTTCTTCTACCATATGTATGGCAGCCATATCGGAACACTTAACATTTATACAAGAACGAGTACCACTGGTGCAATGAATAGAGTCTGGACACTAAGTGGAGACCAAGGTGACCAGTGGATTAGAGGAAATGCTACCATAAATGTGAACCAAAACTTCCAGGTGAAGAATGTTTTGTAATTATTGCAGATACTGAGCTGCGTTGTTTGGGTCGATGTTGAAGAGCTGGGTTTGAGGTTGCAAGGCACGTCAGAAGTCTCTATAATGTTTTCCTTCACCAACACGCGTCACTTTGATTCTGTACAGTCAGGAGTCGACATAAGTAACACCAAACTTTCTGAAATGCCTTTGTAATATATGATAGGCTGACGTTCCATCCATTAAAAGTTCCTGTGCTTCTAATTCTTCCATGTTACGGAAAGTTACATGAACTTTGGCGATGTGGGGTAGTCTCAACTTTTTCTCTAATTTTCTTTATTTTTATTTTTATTAAACTTGATGTAACATCATCACTTTTTTCAATATTCCTGCTTGCGATCGAATCGCCCCATTTGCTTAGTGTTTATTTAATTAATTCGGCAGACACTTAACCTTCTTACGGTTTTCAACAGGTTATATTTGAAGCTGTGGTTGGCACATCCTATAGAGGAGACATCGCCATAGACGACATAACATTCACACCTCAGTGCGTTGTTGGTGGCTCAATCCCAGGTGACTATTTGCTCGTCCTGCAATTCTCTGTGGCATTTTTGTGTTTCGTAAACCCAGTATTATTATGGAGACTTACAGCATTTTCAACTTCACGCCCTTGATGAATTAATCTAAAACGAGACCGTGATGGAAAAAAAAAAAAAAAAAAAAGGGAAAAAATGCAGTATCTATATTCTCCATACCCGTCCGTATACATTTCCTTTGTTTCTGACAGGGAGAATTTGTTTAACAATCAACAGCTTCTTCAATTGGTGATCATTGTCGGTTTCTCGTGACGTTATTGTTTGATTCAGGGAGTGATATTGTTTGGAGAAATTAGATGCTAGTCACTCTTGAAGGTTTAAGGGTTAACCTGGCTTAGACCATTAACGGATTTGGACGTTTTAGGTTTACCAACACCGTCACCTACTCCAACCTCGGCGCCAGTCTTCAAATGTGCTAAAGATCAGTACTGTGGCTCTCCTTGTGCTTTCACAAAGGATATGTGCAACTGGATTAACTCCAATTTGGACAACTTTGATTGGACGCGACATCGAGGTTGTACTGCAAGTATCAGTACTGGTCCATGTACTGACGCCGACAAGAATCCTTCTGGTCAGTTCAATAATTCTTATGATTCTTAGGCCAATGACACATGGTACATGATCTTTGCTCCTCACGAAAAACAAAAAGCAAAACAAGAAAAACAAAATATATATATATATATAGGAAGTCTGTGTATTGATTTTTCCGTTTTACATTGCTCGATACGTAGAAGTAGAGCGCGATATATGTTGCGGTAGGGGAAATAAACAGAGAGACTATACTTTCATCCTTACAAGCCTGTTGCGCGATTGCTCACTCATCAGGGGATTTTATTTTATATATATATATAGTTTCCTTTTTTTCCCCTCTATTTATTAACAGGTTACTACTTATACATTGAAACATCAACGGGTATAGTTGGATCGAAGGCTGTGCTTGTTAGTCCCCAGTACCAGCAGGCCTACAGTAACTGTAAACTGAAATTCTCGTACCACATGTATGGAAGCACTGTCGGTAGCCTGGCTGTATTCCTCAACGATGGCACCTCCAGGACAAGAATGATGATGCTCATTGGTTTGTACTCTAAATAACTTGTTTATGACAGTTATAACCCTCTCCACCCTTGTACTGACGTATTTAGCGATTGCTTATCCCTTCACACCCTAAAATCAGAATGCATGTTCTTCTAATTATTTCCTAATATGCCGACATGGAGAATTTGTGTAACAATCAAGAGCTTCTTTAGTCGGTGATCAGCTTATTCTCCTGACCTCAATGTTTGATTCAGGGATGATATGGTACGGAGAAATTTGAAGAAGTTTTGAGAAGTTTGCCTGGTTTTTTACTCCAAATTCTCATTGGCTTATGATGATGTAAATGTTTGTTTTGATTGGCTGTTGCCGTTACTATGGTTTGAAATTTTCAACACTCCTTTAAAGGCAACTTATGTTTCTTCTCATCCCCTGGTTTCCGTAGTGCATATGATTGCGATAAAGGTTGTATTCTAACCACTTCTCGGAGTTAATAGATCGAATAAATAATAGTATGGCGGGATCCGTTTGCAACTATCATTTTCCTACTAATGAATTTTATCATTTTTCGGAGCACTCAAAACTTCGTGTATTATTTCCCGATAGGCAACCAAGGGAACCAGTGGTTTCAAACGGTCGTATCTATCGGACGTCGTAAGACCCCATTCACAATTGAATTCGAGGCAATGCGTGGAGTTTCTTGGGATGGGGACATTGCTATTGATTCCATTTCGTTGCTAAGCTGTAAAAAGCCCACTCAATGTAAAGGTTCTCTTCCTTCAGATACTCAGAGGTGAGGTATAGTGATGAGATAGAATGATTTGTTTGCATCTCATAGACGAAAAGTGTTCCAGCACTTTTTCAGAAATGTTAAATGATAGAGACCTCACAAAATGATGACAGTTTTGTCGAGAGTAGCTAAATTTTTGTTTTTCTTAACAACTATACAGCTTTTAGGGTCAAAATGATTTTTGCCTCATTGCCAGGAAAAAAATATATTTTCTTGACGTTTATGCAAAAACGGATAACGATTAAAAAATCCGCAGATTGAAAGTTTACGAAGGTTTTAATGCTACATTATTCTTGATATAGAGAATGTGTTTGTACATTTAATCGCCTTTCACTGTTTACCAAAGGTGCACAAACGGTGCTTGTGTTAAGAAGAATCTCCTCTGTGACTTCTCCGACGATTGCGGGGACAATTCCGATGAAACTTCGTGCAGTAACTACTTGGCACGCTGCGACTTCGAAAAGGATACGTGTTCTTGGATACAACAATCTGATGATGAATTCGACTGGAGTAGGAGGAAAGGACCAACTCCATCTCTCTCTACAGGTCCCGCGCGAGATCATACTTTTGGAACTTTGGCAGGTTAGAGTGTAAACTGATCTTGGTCAAAACTGATTCCATCAGCCCTAATTCCATGCATTGCTTACAGAGAAATTAAAGTGGAAAAAAACGTTATCAAACTTAGTTGACCTGTGTGTAAAGGAAAAACTGACTGGAAAATGTTTAAAGAAAATTTAAAAGTTGTTTACCTTCTAAATAATAAGTTTGAAATTTTCTTTCAGGTTATTACATGTACATCGAGACATCAGGAAAGAAATTTGGAGACCGCGCCAAACTTGGCAGCCCCAATTTGAAAGGGCAGTGTACTCTGCGCATGTGGTATCACATGTATGGTGTGCACGTCAACGATCTTGTAGTCTACATGCGCAATACGTCTGATGGACCACTCCAAAGAGTTGGTAATTTGTCTGGCAATGTAGGAGACAACTGGATAAGAACTGAGCTGAAAATGAGTAACGGCAATCAACCATATCAAATTGTCATTGAAGGTTGGTGCAGTTGAGTGATTTTGATTGTGTCATTTTGTTTTGTTTTGTGTTAGGGGGTATTAAACCATGAAGATTAGGCAATTCTCTCGAATTAGGCTCTTTCTCATGAATCAGGCGTTTTCCTAGAAAGCGAGAGTTTTCCCACGTTTTATTAAATATTCCGTCACAATAATGGAATATAGTCACTGATCAATTTTACAAGATAGTTCTCTTTTGTGACTTTTAGCTCTTCAACAATTGATTAGTCTAGCCGGCAAATTCTGATTAATTGTAAGGGCCCGACTCTTGTTTTTAAGCTCACTTTGAAAGTGTATCCTCTTGGAACGCTTCAGTACCTCACGTGACGTCAAACTGCAGTCTCTAATTAGACGTGGATTAGTTCTGCTGTGGTTCATGTAGAAGAGCCCTCTAATTGACCATTATATTGATTTTTTTGTATTAAGCTGTGAGAGGGAATGGCTACAGGGGAGACATAGCCATTGATGATCTTAGCATTGCCATGAAGCCTAGCTGTCAGTTGTACGGCGGGTCACTGCCTGCTGTTGGTTCAACTGTGAGTCCAGTCACAACAGCATATCCTAACAACTGTCAGAGTAATCAGTTCGGCTGCGTCAGTGATGGCAAATGTCTTCAGCTTGGTCAGGTCTGCGACTTTAACAAGGATTGTGCTGATGGCTCCGATGAAAGAAATTGCCGTAAGTGATATAATATTTCCCCTTCTTCCCTATTTTTTAGCTGTAGTAAAAACATGCGATGAAGTTTCCTCAGAGCTACAGCACATTTGGATTTGCACTCTTGGCAATCATTAATCACACTTCGATGAAATACAATGTTAGCTGGTGATTTACCGTTCATTTTGAAAAGTCGCCGGGATCGGCTCAATTCTAATCCATAATACCGAGGGTATTTGTCCTTCTGTACAACAATAGTGACTCGTCCGTTTTCATATGAAGTCTGCTATTAGATTGACGACAAATAAACTTTGTACATCCAGATTCAAAGCGTGGTTGATGTTTACAGTTATCTTGAGGAAATGCTGCCTCTAATTTCCCTGCTGTCTTAGATTCTCAGATGGACTCGTAATACTCTTTTTTCGAATAAATCAAACTATTATTAAGTTGTATAATTAATATTAATCAGAGTCATTTCTTATTTTAAAGTCATTTTCTGTGGACGGGCACTGTGGTTTTAAATGACATAAACTTGGGATCTATCATTTCTTACCTTGTTCTCTGGTTATGTAATGAATGGTTTTTGTAAAAAATAATATTGTTGGTTATTGCAGCGACCAAATGTACTTTTGAAAGCAACCAGTGTGGCTGGGTAAACACAGATAAAGACAACTTTGACTGGAAGCGCAAGCAAGGCCGAACTCCAAGCTATGGTACCGGTCCTTCCGTTGACCACACGACGGGAACAAATCAAGGATATTACATGTACATCGAGACTTCGTATGGTACCGTTGGTGACCGTGCAAGAATGCTCAGTCCTGTTTTCAAGAAGGTATGATATTGGGTCTCAAAACGAAGACCAATGAATGTCGGCTAGTGGTAACTTGTAATTTCGTGTTCTGGCGACAAGAGAATATTTTAACCACTTTCAACTCTCAAGATCTAATTTGCAGCTTTCCCATCTAGCCTACGCACATTTCCTTGTTATTAAGCCAAGTTTAGAAGAAGTGTGTCTTCAGAGATACCACCATGAGCTGATCAAATTGTCTTTCCTCATCATCTGTTAACCAGATATTGTATCGAAATTTCCAGTACATGTTACAATTTGATCGTGCGTTTACTTTCTATAGTATATCATACTGAAGATTTATGTTAAAGAGCGGCTCAGGAGTAGAATCATCCTAAAGTTCCTGTTTGTTTTTCTTACAAGGCTCACTCTAACTGTAAGATGACATTCTGGTACCACATGTATGGTTCGTCCATTGGCTCTTTGAATGTTTACCTCAATATCAGCAACAAATTAACTCTTTGGTGGAGGAAGTATGGTAACAAAGGCAACCAATGGCTGCAGGGAACTGTGGGAATTGGGAAGCAGATGCAGGCTTTCCAAATTCTCTTTGAAGGTGTGAGACGTAACCTTTCTTTAAAAAAGACGGGAAGTGGAGATAGAGGGTTTTTGTGTTCCAGTTGAGCGTTTCTCCACTTGTCAAGTAATTTTCTCTTAAGGGGAACGGCGTGTGTGTGTAGGGAAAACAGCATTTTGCTTCCCACAATACTAAATTAACCTTTACGCTCGTCATATGATCGTCTTACATGCAGGAGGCTAGTGACTGTCGAAAACGTTTAAAGTACACCGATTTATTTTTTCTTGTAATTTTAAAGGTATTGTCTTTCTTTCAACGAAACAGATGCATTTTAGCCAAGGCAATGCTCGTATCTATAATCTTTTTTGATGAAGTGAGGACAAGCACCAAAGAGGTTTTTAAACGATTATTGAAAAGGCTACAAAACTACAAACAGGAACCTCCCATCCTTCTTAAACTGCAGCAACTTTATTACCACGCATTTTTTTTCGATTTGAGAATCAGTCATGTCGCCCTTGAAATTTACTAGCAATCCAACGTGTGGTTAATTTTCCCATTCCTAGTTGTATCTCATAAGCGTCATAGTTTCATTTTGGTTATTTTTAGCGACCCGAGGCAGAAGTTTCTCGGGAGACATCGCTCTTGATGACATCCAGTTTGTTGACTGTGCACTTCCTCCGGTGACCAGCAGCTGTTCCGAATTCGCCTGTACACGGAAATCCTGTGTCAAGCAGGACTATGTCTGTGATTACAATGACGACTGTGGTGACAATTCAGACGAAAAAGCTTGTGGTAATGTCATGTTGTTCACGATGCCCTTGTTTAGAACATCTACCACTGCTTTCTAATTGAAGTATTGCACATGAGCCTACACTTGAGAAATTAACCGCTGACCAGAAGTGCCTTCTTAGTTCGTAGCGGTTGGAATTTTCTTTTACTATTTTTTTATTTCAATAGGTTACTTTGCAAGAAACTTAACATTGCCAGTTAGCCCGTCATCTTTTTTCTGTTGATTCTCATATTTTCTTCAGTATATCTGGCCCTAACCTCAGTCTACTTTTGACAGGTACTTACACAACACGGTGCGACTTCAGTCAGGGACCTTGCGACTGGACCCAAAGTACTGAGGACGACTTTGATTGGTTACGAAGACGAGGTGAATAGCTGATGATTAATGTAGTAATGGTCTTATTAAGATGGGGTCAAACAAAATAACTCGTACAGGGCCTTTTTATGCGCAAACTTACGCAGGACATTCGCAACAGTTGCTTTTGGATCTCTTGATGTTTCACTCGTGCTTCTTCTTGATATTTCGCGGAGGATCTTGTTTTGGTCTTTTCAGGAAGATGTGGAATAAGAAAATTTTGCATTTGAAATTTACCTTTAACTCACCACAAAGCATCAAGTAATCATGATCATCCACATATTTTAGTAAAGCGGGCAGTATATTGATTGCATAACGAAGTAGTCGTTGTCTTCGACTGCGACTAACAACCACATTATTTTGATGTGACAGGTGCCACAGCTTCTTGGAATACTGGCCCACCTTCAGATCACACCACACAGACTGGCTATTACATGTACATCGAAACTTCTTGGCCTCGAAAGTATGGCGACAAGGCCTGGATGGTAAGCCGAAACTTCCAAGCACTCATTCCCGGCTCAAATCCCTGCAAGCTCCGGTTCTTCTACCATATGTATGGGGACTCGGCTGAGAAGTTTTCCTTGTACATCAGGACTACTCGAAATGGAACCAATATGCAGAACGTGTGGAGCAAAGTTGGTTCACAAGGAGCTGTGTGGAACAGAGCTGTCGTGACCCTGGCTTCAGACAAAAACTTCCAAGTATGGCTTTACTCCACTTATCCATATTTATCTCACCACTTCCAGGAGTGACCAAAATGAATTTTTCTTCAAAATCTTTTTTAGTAGTAAAATGACGATAAGAAAGGATAAAATTAACTGTGCGATATCGATCGTTCCCACACAAAATTCTCGGAGCTGAAATCATTAGATAATATATGGTAGACACTTAGGAGAGTTTATTTTTAGATCTTTGGAGGGAAAAAAATTAAAATTTTTACTCCTTTTCAGTTCTTCTCTCAATATTGCTTTGAGATTTGAATTTCCCATGTTGGTAGTTTTTGCTTTTGACCTTTTTTTCTAATTTTTTACGGGTTATGGGTTATGATGACGCTCGGTTTAAGCCGTGTGAAGCATGAATAGTCCCCGTGAATGATGCAATAGCCGACGGGTGAGCTAACCTCAAAGGCAGTCACTTGCGGTAGATGCGGTGGGTGATTGTTAGCGGGAAATCACGGGCAATCAAAATTTAGATTTTGTGACATATCATTTGTATTGCTTGCCTACAAACAAAAGTGTCGACGTGTAGTTCTCCCAGTGGCCTCTTTACTGGAAGTTTGGGCGGTGGGGAAAGGGCTTTTGTGATGTAGGCATAGTGGAGCCCTCTCGTCAGATCTGGGTGGCTCAAAATCCGATTAAATCTAATTCTGGGTCAGCTCTGTACTAAAACTTTACGTCGTCATGAACCATGAGTAAAACGAACCTCTCAATCCACTGTGCCTGTTTAACAAGACTGCATTAATTTTTTTCAGGTGATATTTGAGGGTATGCGAGGCGATAGCTACACTGGTGACATTGGTTTGGATGATGTTTCCTTCACAACTGACTGCAAGCCATATGGTGGAGATCTTCCCGATGCCCCATCGCCCACACCGACTCCTTCAGGAGGACCCACTCAGTCACATCAGTGTAGCAGCGCAGAGTTCAATTGCGCGAAACAGGGGCCTGCTGCTTGCATCCGAAGCACGCAGGTAATTGTTGTTAAACATTGTGCCTCTACTTGACGCTATTTTAGGCTTTTCTTATAGGAGTAGGAAGGGAGGGGGGGGAGGGGGGGAATTGTGTTGATTACTTGCGTGATAAATTATTGTTAATATTTAGACAGAGTTTTGAAGGTTTCAAAGCTGCAATCTTTAACACTCCTATCCCTATCTCCTACTCCTTCGCTCCTCTTTTGAGCAAAGGGGAAGTGAACAAAAAGTAATTTTTTTTCCTTATTTTGGACTTACGGTAGTTTTGTTCGATCTTCACTGATAAGTTTCGAATTTATGGCAACGCTTGCTCCTCAGGTCTGCAACTTCCAAAACGACTGTCAAGATGGATCAGACGAAGGCAACTGTGCAAAGACTCGCTGTACTTTTGACAGTGGGGACTTATGTAATTGGTATGTGGATAACCCTACACGGAAACGGCGTGATGTGGCCTACACCTGGCTAGCTCAGCAGGGTGCTACAGGCACGGCCCTTACGGGACCCACAATAGACCACACGACAGGTAGGAAGCTTTTCAAGTCTTGATATCGTTAGTATCGGCTAGGCTTCCTGTGATCAAGCTGGTGCTGGTGTGTTCTTTTACTGGGTACTTAAGTTTCGGACATTCGCATATAATTTGACTGACATCTTTTACACTGATTATCGAAGTTATTTCGGGGCAGATACTGTACCGTTTGAGCTGCAATACTCGTTTTATATGCGACGAGCGTCCTGCATTCTGCGAAGGTCAGTGTTATTGGCGCGTCTTGTTCGAGGACAAACTAAAAGGATAGATATTTTGTGGTCGAATAAGGGACACGTTCAAGAGAATGGTTTGTCACGAATGTGGAAGAAAGAACATCTTATGAATTCCCACGAGGTCTCAAACCTCAGACCTTAGGATTCCTCGCTCAGATACTCAGCCACTTAGACACAGACTACACGGTGAACTAGGCCATTACAAGATTCACATGTGACACTCTTCGTGCATACGTTAGGAACAGCATTGTCAAAACTCTATGTTTGTTAATAAAATACGAAAGATGGTAAACTTTAAGCTCGCTAATGAAATAGGGAAGGATGTTTTTCCTTCTTGAAAAGGTGTTTAAGATGTGTTTTCTTTGTTTCTGACAGGTACTACAGCAGGATGGTATATTTACGCAGAGAGCTCTGGAGGTTCTAATGGTGATAGGGCACTACTCTCCACAACCCGGATCGGTCAAACTGGACCGCAATGTGTTCTGTCGTTCTGGTACCACATGTATGGACGATCGGTAGGAACTCTGTCAGTCAAGCTGTCCTTCTTAGATGGAACACAACCCGTTATCTGGACCAAGTCTGGTGACCAGGGCAACTCTTGGCTACAAAGCCGCTTGGTGATCGGATCAAGACAACTGTTGAAGGTATCTGGTGGATGCGTAATGTATTTAAAGCACTTATTCCTGATGTTTCTTTTACATCCCCATATGATTCCATATTCTCGTAAGAGAGGCTCTTGTTTTGTTAAGGTTTCTGTGAAATCCCCAGGATCTCTCCTTTTCAATAACATTTTCTTTCATATTTGCTAAAGGCCTTAATGCTTTAACCCTTTACACCCTAACATGAATATGCATCTTCTCCTTACTGATCTCTATAGTATTCCTAAGGTGTTGAAAAGGAGAATTTTTTTAACCGTCAAGAGCTTTTTGTGGGTGATCATTTGCTTTATTCTTGTGACTTAAATTAATAATTCAGGGGTGATATTGTAAGGAGAAATTAGATGCTAGTCACTCTTAGGTATGAAAGGGTTCGAGTGCAAAAACCAAAGTAATCACTTAGAGGGAAGGAAAGTCTCTCAAAGAGTCCATGAAAATTCAAAATATAAACAAGCAAACTGCTTGACGCGCAGAAAAATGCGATTGATCAAGTTGCGGTTGGTTTCAGCATTGAATCTAATTGGTTGAGTGGCGCGAGCGTTTAGACCAATCAGAAATTAAAGTAGCGCAAAACCACCGTAATCTCAGATAGTTTTGGACACTCAAAAGAAGCTCGCCCTGTTAAGACAATATTGGTTGATTCTTTTAAGACACATGACTTATATTTAATTTATTTCCTCTCGTGCAACTTCTCACTTTCTACTTTAACCACAAAATAACTCTTCCATGGGACTAGCTTTAATTTCTGACCTTTTGTGGCTTTTAGGTCATCTTTGAAGCAAAGCGGGGCACCGGTTACCAGGGGGATATCGCTTTGGATGATATAGAATTCATGAAATGTCAGCCGCTGGACACCACAAAGAAGTGTACCGTGGATGAATTCCAGTGAGTGTAAAATGCTCCGTAGCTTTTTAAATGACATGATTATTTGCACTCGCCTACTTCCTAAATCACTCAAAATTAAGAGTATTTGAATAGTTGTGAGATCCAGAATTAGTGATGTTCTGAACATATTAGATTATGTGTGAAGTAGCCAAGCTTCCCTGCCCCATCCCGGCCTATCCCGCCCTATCCCGGCCCCATCCCGGCCCATCCCTTAAATCCTGGTATCAGTTTTACGACCGCATCACGTAGTTAACAGGGAACAAATGGACATATTATAAATTTATCTTGTGCGAGACCAGATTTTCCTTTTTTGAATTATCAGATGGAAAAATAGCAATTAGATATGGTATTTTTTAGATCAAAAGACAGCGTAGGAATTAGTTTTCCGTTTCTTAAGCAGAATTTTGCTTAATTGTGATGAAAGACAGGATTTAATCGAAACATCCAACATAATGTTGCAAGCGGATATTGAAAATTCAAAAGAAAGTTAATGCCATCTCTTTGTCTTCCCTTTTTAGGTGTGCACAAGGAGGCTGCATCCCAAAGACATCACTATGTGACTTCAGTGCTGACTGTATGGCTGGGGATGTATCAGATGAGGCCACCTGTTCTGCTTACAAGTCTGGACAATGTGATTTTGAACATGGTCTATGTCTGTACTCACAGAGTTCTGATGACAAATTTGACTGGACTACATCCACTGATGGTACATTCTCCTACGGTACCGGCCCTTCATCTGACCATACAACTCAGACAAACAAAGGTATGTGTTGGAGCTAAAAATAAAATATTATATATATATATATTAACAAACGAGTTTATATTTAAAATTGGCCTCTGAAAGGGGTTTCTTAAGTTGAAGATTCGAACGTTAGCCCTTCATCAGAGCGAATGTCGGAGCTACCTCGATGCGCCCCTTGTTTGGTCTCGTTTCGCTGCTCGCTCTTCAACAGACATATCAACAGTTCTTTAGAGATAAAGTGGATTGCGTGACAGGGATAAAGGTGTGTGACAGGACTGAAAGACGTTTGCTTTAGAGGCTTTTTCTGTAGCAAGAGTTATAACTTGTGTTTTTATTGATAGCACGAAGTTGTTTACGGGAAAAAAAAATAATTCAGTGTCGTGAAGCTGAAGATAAAATGATAACTTTCAATCAAGACACCAGCTGAGCTCTTAAACTGCCTGACTGCTTAAAGCTAGAGAAAAGGAGAGTTTTAAAGCCGCGATTAGTTTTCAATGTGTTTCTGATCGGTTTAGAACTTTCCGATAATTTGCAGACTAACTAAGAGACTCTTAGAAAAAACGTTCCTCAGTATAAGAAGAAGGAAACTTCCTTGTAGTCATGCACAACTGTGAAAAAATGTACAGAATCTCAATTATGAATCATTTTGCTTGGTATCCATTTCAGGTCGGTACATGTACATCGAGACTTCATGGCCTCGCAGACCCGGAGACAATGCCCGTTTGAACTCACCCATCTTAAGGAGTACTTCATCCAACTGTTACCTCCGATTCTACTACCATATGAAGGGTAGTCATATTGGCAGCCTTCTCGTAAGAACACGCACAAGCTACTACGTAGGAGGTCTTTCCAATCCTATATTGAACATTACAGGACCACAGGGTGACTTCTGGTACCGCGGATTGGTTCAAGCACCTTACAGTCAGAATGACTACCAGTTCGTCATAGAAGGAGTGAGAGGCAATGGATACCAGGGTGATATTGCGATTGATGACGTTTCCCTCACGCCTGGTTGTCAGATATGCAAGGATTGCACCATGCCAGGTAAAATAGCAGGCATTTTACTCTTCGCTAGTCGGTTTATTTTCCTTGTAGCCTTTTTATTCAGTGCTTTTTGGTTGCCTAAAAAACTGAAAGATTACTTTTGGTTACTATAAAGGTACCTTTGTGAAACCCGATTCTTAGACAGGGATGTAACTCGTCACCAGAATGACAACTTTGCGTTTTCGCATACTGTCGTTTGTTTGTTTTAATTACGGTAAAAAGAAATAAAGGTTATCAGGTAGAAAGGAGGATGCGACAAAAAAAAAAAAACAAAAAATTATGGAGTTTTCGCACAGAAAGTAAGATCTAATGGTTTGGACGATTTACATCTTTGTTAACCATTTGTCGTCTTATTGATCATTGCAAGTAAGTTTCATCACATGGTAGTTTGCCGAACTGCTATGTTTGATTAGATTATGAGTTTAACTAGGTGCCCACATGGTTCAAGAATAAGTGTCCCTTCTAGGTTTCCTTTCCGAGCACTGCATGCTGTCCAACTAGATTTTCCGATGTCGTTATCGGCTCTCACGATACATGATTATTTCATCGAATGTTAGAGTGATCCAAGGCTTTTTACATAGTTTTCATTAATCATTTCTTTTCTTTTTTTCTTCAGGTCAGCCAACACCGACTCCATTTGGTTTCCACTCGCGGCCCACTGGGACCTCTTGCGGTGCCCAGCAGTATGTCTGTAAGAACCTCAAATGTGTGGACAAGGCTCAGATATGTAACTTCAAAAATGACTGTGGAGACAACTCCGATGAAATCCCCTGCGGCTCGAATTGCACATTTGAGGATGATTGCTGGAGGGGCTGGAGACAATCTACCGGTACTGACAACTTTAACTGGAGGCGGAAGAATGGACAGACACCGAGTGTTGGAACGGGCCCTACCAATGACCACACTCTGGGAACGGCCCAGGTACATTAACGACACGAGTTAAAATATTTTGGATTCTCTGCTGTGGTAGATGATTATTGAACGTGGTTGAGCAAAATATCATTATTTTTCGGTGGCAAGCAGATCAATGTTTGTTTCTCGGTGCGAAGGGAAAAGGAAGGTTAACACATAATGGGCTCCATCTGGCGTGATATTTGCTCCAATATCTGTTCGCGGACAAAATACAATCCAAGTGAATAGTTTTTCGATAGAATGAAATTTTCTGAGATCGAATATTTGATTTTATTGCTCCTTATGGTGGCCATTGTGTCTATTATTCTTGACGTTTTTCTCGCAATACGCGACGGAAGCTTCACGGGAAGCTTTTCGTCAAGAACATTGACAATTGAATGACATTCGATGGTATAACAGCGCGATAGTCGGCGAGCGTGGTAACAAAGCAACTGGTGTTTCCTTGTTATCCTGACCGCCAGCTATTGCTTGTCATTTTTTTAAAGTAGCAGGTGGATAATGACATCTAACAATTTTTATCTTTTCAGGGCTACTACATGTATATTGAAACATCACGCGCGAATCTCGGTGACAAAGCAGAGTTGACATCGTTCAGGTATTTTGCTTCAAGTCCCAACTGTAAGATGACAATATGGTATCACATGTATGGATCAGGCATTGGAGTGTTTGAGGTCAAGGTCAAGAAATCCGATGGAACGTATGATTACAAGTATACATTGAGAGGAAATCAGGTAAATCATTTTTTTTTAATTTATATCATGAAAAGTTTTCTTTTTAATGACCTATAAGGTGAAAGCAGTACTAAGCAGACATTTAAGAGACTCTAGCTTGAGTCAGTTTTATACTCGAGTTTCCTCTCTATACAGCTTGTAACAATTGTCGAAAAGCGAGTTTATGAGCAATTTGTCCTTTAACAGGGCAAGAGATGTGCAAATAAGCTTCAGTGCCCTGATGCTATCGGTTCGTCTAGACCAATCTGGGTTCCTTCGAATCTGGCCGTTTCAAATTCAACATTCGTGTAGAATATTGAATTTCCTTACGGGAAAGAGAGAAAAAACTGCTTCCAAAACACGGAGTCCTAAGAGCCCTCATACATTTCGCACGGTACCGGTACCTCATTGTATATCAAAAGTGAGCCTTAACGCCCTAACTACGGAAATGTGTTTATAAATTTGGTACCATGTGGTAAATAAACTTTTTATGATATCCACAGGGAAATGCTTGGAAAAAAGCGGACATAGATATTGGTGCATACAGGAACTTTGTGATCATTATTCAAGCCACCCGTGGATCAAGCTGGCAAGGTGATATTGCCATCGACGACATCTCTTTCAGCAATTGCTTCTCTGATGTCACAAGGAACTGCACTCAGAATGAAGTATGTTTACTTTGGTTGTGTTATTTTATTTGAAAAGATGTCTTTAGTTTTCAAAATAATTAAGGGATTAATATTTCGCTATGATTTCCTTGGGCTGAATTTTTATAATTAATTGCAAGTTATACCGTTTCACGTATCCTTTTTGATACAGGGACACCAGGTAGGTTCGCTTGTAGAGGCGTCGATATCGACTTAACATGAATTTTTACACAGCTACTTCATTTTTATCACCCAGCTGTTTTTTTTTTCTCTTTATTTTTCCCTCTCTGCTTCGCTGCGTTTCTGTTTGATGATACAAATTGTGTTCGGTTTACATGAACCGATAAAGACAACAGGATGTTGAAGCTGAGCTATAGGGAAAATTGATATAAGATAAACAGGCACCGTTGAGAACGTCCAATCTCCTTATTCCTTGCCCCCCTACCCGCCTCTAAAGTGTTCCTTTTTAGCCAACGGCAACATTGCATCTTTTCAGTCGTGTAACATGCCTCTGAAATTCCCTGAGGTAACTTACGTCGTAAATTTCTCATGTTTACTTCATCAAAGGTGAAATGCAAAGACAGTGGTCATTGTGTAACAGAACAAAGAGTTTGCGATCATGTCAAAGATTGTAAGGATGGTACTGATGAAAGTCAGTGTTCCAGTCGAAAAGCCAGTTGCGACTTTGAAATCAACTGGTGTGGCTGGTTCAACTACTACTATGACGACTTTAATTGGCTTCGTCAAAGACAGATCGGAACGACTGGAACAGGTGTGATATTTGATTTCTTTCGTAATGCGTTAGCACTTCAATTTAATTCGTCTGGGCGTACGCTAGTTCATCCCCAGTGTTATAAAAACGTCGTGGCACTAGCTTTATGTGGTCTTTTGTCATTGGCATGCGTAGCACGCGTTCGGGTAGAACATAGTGAGAAGAAACGCGAGGGAAATAAGTTCCTCTATTGCTCTAATGCGCGTGTGACAAATTGTGTTGTGTGCAACGGCTTGGTAATAAGCTATTCTTCCTGTCGATTCAATTCAACCTATGATTACCTGGCGAGATATCTTGGCCTAGCATGTCTGCTTCTTTGTGTGTTGATACTTGGCTAATTTGACGTTGTAACCTAATGGCTTTTTAGTTTGAAACAGCGCCATATTTTGCAGATCCAACTAAATTATCCCTGTACTTGGAGTTGCGTGAGAGCTAAAAGAGCTCAAAGCACTAAAACAGTAAAATAATTCTCTCGTCTAAATTCCGTTTAACATATTTTAACGATAGTCGAAATTTGAAGTATTAGGATGGAAATTATCCTAGCTCCAACCAGATGTGTCATAATCTTTCTTGTTCTTGTCTCCAAGGTCCAAAAGGAGACCACACCACTGGGAGTGGTTGGTTCATGCACATAGACTCGTCAAGTCCAAGGCAGCTTTTAGACAGAGCGAAACTTGCAAATGGTAATTTGTTCCCGGCCGGCCGCGGAGTTTGTACTCTACGATTTTACTACAACATGTATGGATCACAGAACATGGGATATCTGAAGGTCCACTTGCTTACTAATTGGTACTCGAACTGGAGGGAAGTCTGGAAAACGAGAGGTGAGATGTGTGTAATGAACTTGAAATTAAGATGAAAACGAGACTTATAGGCTAGCTTCGTGGTAATTAGTCTTCCAATTAGAATGCCATTGTATCTGTTTTTGTTTATCTAAACCTGTGGCCCACCGCCGGCGCCTTCCCCGATCCTCCCTTTATAAAAAAATGATTTATTGAGAAACTTGTTCAGAGTCCGTACAGTTTTCAATTCTTGAAAAAAGGGTAGTATGGAAAATAACAAACTTAGTTTCAAGACCTGGATAGGTACCAGATTACTTTCCAAACTGCAACGAGTATGTTTCATTATTGCAATCGCTGAAAAGTTTGACAAAAGGCCTGTAATTTGTACACAAGTTTAAACAAACCATAAACCGTGGTCGTTTTTTTGCTCCTTAGGTGATCCTACCAATCAAAACTGGGTGCGTGCAGAGGTCAAGCTAGACTCCTACTCGTCGTTTAGGGTTGGTTTTGAAGGTATCGTTGGCGGAGATGACAAGACTGATATTGCATTGGATGATATAAGCTTTTCTGCCGGCTGCTACAAGGTATGTATTCTTCTACTGCGTAAAAAACGTACAACTGTAAAAGGGGAATTGGGTTGTAGTTAAAGACGTTTTTAAGGTATTAAATTATGGAAGAGCTTCTTTCAAAGAAATGTTTAATGGAGAGCTTCTAATATCAATTTATTTGTTTGTTTGTTTGTTTGCTTGTTTTCTCTCAAATAATTCATTAGTTATACATGCAGTCAGCAGTTTCAAGATATTGCGTTGGCTTTCGCTTTGTTTGATCTCGTAACTCCCAAGGTCTGATTATCAATTCTCCCCTATAGCTGCAACACATTATCTTTTTAATAAGATACGAGAACTTAGTACTAGATCAAGAAAACGAGTTCTACGTGATAGGTTTGAGCAATCTCTCTACCTGTTTGCTAGAGAATGTTTGGCTATTGTAGGGAGAGATTACATGTTTATCACTAATGGGAGTTACCAGATTTGTCAGGTTTAATACCAAATTCGCCAAGCAATTTTATGGTAAAAATAAGTCCTCTAGAAAATCTCAGTCGTGGATATATTCTGAAGGCTCCTTAACATGCTCAGATTCGTTAACTAAGCTCAAGAGTAAGCTTTATATAGCTCAGTCATAGAAGTCTGCGGTTTGATTCTTCTTGAAGGAAAAATGAATAAACATCTCTCTTCGACAGCTGAGCTTAACTTGACTGATCTTTTAAGCGCAGATACACCCGTTGAGTCTGTTTTGTGCTATTTTTTTATTCAGGGAGGCATTCCGCCTGCACCAACAGGTGCTGCACAATGCACCAGTAACCAGTTTTACTGCAGTGCAGACGACCTGTGCATCAATATTAACTGGAAGTGTGACGGAGAGCAGGACTGTACTGATGGCGAAGATGAACTCAAGTGTCCACCACCTTCACCGCAACCAACCCCTCCACCTGGATCATCTCATCCCGCAGACTGCAACTTCGATAAAGACTACTGTTTGTGGGAGTCTGCAAAGTTTGCTGATATGAGATGGCTGCGAAACCAAGGCCAGACACCTAGCTGGAACACTGGCCCCAGTGCTGATAAAAGTGGCGCAGGTAACAAAATTCATACCACATATGTAACTTGGCTCAGTCAAGTGCAAATCCATAATTGTTGTTGCTTTCTGTAACGAAGGCATCTTTGTTTTTGCGAAAATTAAGTGCTTTGTTCAAACCTTTTTTAGTCATTTATTCTCCTTGAATGATTATTGTGATTTCAGTGTGTTCGTTTCTGCGAGTAAAACGTTGTTTGCCTTTGCCAAGAACGTGCTTTGAAGCTGCTAAAAGCGGAGCGAATAAACCAAGGTGTAATGTGTTTATTTCCTGAAGGAAAACTAGATTAAAAGCGAATGGACAAATGTGTCGCTGATTTGTGTTGTGTGTTATCACAGGTTACTACGTTTACGCTGAAGCCACAGGCTACTATTTGGGCCACTTTGGAGAGCTTTTGGGTCCAAATTTGTTACCATCTACAACGTGCCAAGTTTTCTTCTGTTACAATATGAATGGAAAAGACATGGGAACCCTAAATGTTTACCAGCGCTTTACTAATGATGCCAAACCTGACATGACCCAAAAGAAAATCTGGTCGAAGAGTGGTGACCAGGGCAACAAATGGCGCTGCGATTATGCCAATATTCCGAGTAAAGTGCAATTTTCAGTTGTCTTTGAAGCTATACGGGGCGCCGGCTATCAATCAGACATCGCCGTGGATAATATCCAGTTCGTCAAGTGCGGAAATCTTGGGCCGACTCCAGCTCCAACACCAAAACCCAAACCGTCCATCATGGATGACGATTTTGAGAAATGCGTCAGCTGTTGGTCTAATGAGCAGGATGGCCACGACCAGATGGATTGGATTGTTGGACGTGGGGAAACTGCTAGCCAGAATACAGGTCCTTCTTACGACCACACCAAAAAAAGCATTTTAGGGCGCTATCTTTACATTGATGCCTCCAGTGTCTCGTCATCGGGCTGGTACCATGCCGATTTGGAGAGCAGGCTGCTTGTTGTTGACCGAAAGTGTTACATGTCTTTCTGGTATCATATGTATGGCTCTGGGGTGGGCTCGCTGTGGATTGTCGCCTATGCGTTTTCCGATCCTAACAATTTGATTGGTAAGTGACAAACTCTATGTGGCTGGGATTTTGTAGTTGATATGAAGCACTCTTATTTGTTAGGTCAGACTTTAAAACTCCTTTCATCCCGTTAAAACAAGGTAGTAGTATCGCTTCGTGATAGTGGAAACGCTCGGACAAACTAAAGGCCTGCGTAGTAGGAGTTTTGAGCTGGGGAGCCGCAAAAGGAATGGGAAAGAGTAATGCTTGTCTTTCTCTTGTCTCTTATAAATAATTCTTATACACCCAGGTTTCATTAGCAATTCTCCTCACTGTCCTTCATACAATTCTTTTGACGATAGTTCGGAGAATTTGGTATTGAGTCGACTTCTAATCCCCTAGTTTACATTTTCTCTATTCGCATCACTTTACTTATCTGCTTGATATTGTTTTCCTATTGTTAAATCACTTATGAGAGTTGAAGGGTTAATTTGAGGTTTTGATTATCATTTTAAAAGATGTTCTACAACGTTAAATGGTGGTTTGAATCTCTTGAATGACAGAATAATTGAAAACATTTCTTCCCATAGATCACAAACAGGTCGACTTGTGGTATGAGTGGGGTAACCGTGGTAACAAGTGGCAACATGGCATGGTGAGTATCTACAATCCGGAGACGGCCAATAAGACAGTTAGAATTGTGATCAGTGGGGTCAGAGGATGGGACTACAATGGAGACATAGCAATAGATGACATAGAGTTCCACAACTGCAAGTTTAATGATGAGATAACACCATGCACAGAAACCTTTCCAAAGTGTAATGATAACCCGTTCACCCGTCCAACGCTTGGTAAGTATTTCACGAAGCCTCCTATTTCATTGTGAAGAAATTAAAACATTGAAGGGCAGATGGACAACCAGTGTTTCGTCTGTCTCAAGATTGCGGCGTTTTGTCCTATACAGAAAGGAGAAAAGGTTGGGGGGAAAAAGTAGACTCATCCCTCTTTCCAATCCCATCTTTAAAATATGTAAAAATAACATGGCGTATTACGTAAAGGCCAAGCTCGCATATCAGGCTGAAGCCACATGTGATCCAAACCTATAGGAGGTTACAAAGAGGATATTACAAGGTCGCGCGGAGATACGAAACTTCTCTTTGAGTGTTGAAAAATATTTCACGCGTTCGCTTTGCTCACACGTGAAGAGAAAGTTCATATCGCCCCGCGACCGTGTACTATTCTATTTATTATACAAACATCAATGAAATACTAAATCACATCGAAAGGCGCGATTTTTAGATGTAACCTTAGCAACAAGAATCTTCTCACGTGTGAAGATAACATGTTATCGTTGTGAGTGAAGATATCATGTTTTCCCGCTAAAGCTCACTTGGTATTTCATTGGTGTTCAGATAATAATATTATTTTATATATTTTCATATAGGTCCGCTATCCGGTGACTGTAATTTTGAGCACGGTACTTGCCACTGGAACAACACAGCCGTCAACGATATGCCGTGGTATCTTAGAGAGGGCAAAACTTCCAGTACGAACACCGGTCCAGCGGTTGATCACACCACAGGAACATCAAGCGGTAGGGAGTTAATTGTTTACTTTTGTCCTTGACTCTAAACTGTTCTTATAATGAAGCACTGTGGACCCTCACTGTTATGTATTGTAAGGATGAAAGGCAAAGAAGAACATTTCTCTGAATCAGTGACGCGTTTTGTCTACATGTAGGTTATTACATGCATATTGAGGCCAGTTGGTATGTCAAGGGCGCTGTTGCCATCTTGGAGGGTCCTTACATGATGCCTACCTCAAACTGCAAGATGACGTTTTACTACCACATGTCCGGCCCTGACACAGGCTCACTTACAATCTTCGTGAACAGTGGAGATGAAATGAAGGTGATATTGAACAAGACTGGCCACCAGGCTGACAATTGGATCAAAGGTGAAGCAACGGTGAAGAGTGATTACGCCTTCCGAATTCACATCACTGCCACACGAGGAGATGGTTACCAAGGAGACATTGCCATAGACGACATTAAATTTCAGGTACAATCACGCTGTATTATTATTATTATTATAATGATAGCAATTATTATAGTAACCGTGGTAAGGTGCTCCTACAGACGCATGGCACATTATTATTATTATTATTATTGTTATTATAATTGTTGTTGTTGTTGTTATTGTTGTTATTATTATTATTATAGCTATTATTTTAATTATGATTATTATAACTATAATAAAAATAATTATTATTATTATTATTCCTATTATAGTTATCATTGTTAGTTTTATTATTTTTCATTTATTAATGCTGTTGTTGTTATTATTATTATTATTATTATTATTATTATTATTATTATTCTTATTCTTTCATTATTTCTGCTCTCCATGACGCATTGTTTTGGAAATCTTTGGGTGATTTTTATTGGTGGGCGACTTGAAAAAATACCTAGACTGGCGCAAAGCTTCGCCAGTTAAGCGCTCGGAGACCTTAAATACTTTAAAAAAAGTATTAAACTTACTCCTGCCTATACTGAAGTGAATGGAGAAATCGTCACCGAATCCCTGTCTTACAAACTCCTTCTTTAAAGTAGTACCTGAAATTCTTTGCAGGGTCAATGTTCCTTCACAGACGACCAGGCCTTGAGATACGGCGACAAAGCCCTGAAAACGGGTTGTTCTGACGGTGGACGAGAAGGTTTCTTTCAGCATCCGACTGTGGCCGGCTGCAAAGGTTATTGGTGGGGACGTAAAAACCTCCGAGCCAAGCCTTCCTATGTTGGTGCCACGTGCGGAGATGACGTCGGGCGTTGGGGTCGTTGGTGTGGCCAACCTGCTGACCTGTGCGAAGATGGTTGGCATGTCTGTGGAACTTTTGGAGACGTTTTCGAAATTGTCAACCGAGTAAGACTTAAGTTGCTCCTTTCTAAACAGAAAAGCTACAAATGATTTTTCTGTCAAATGACAGCGTCAATGCATGTTAAAATACAGGATAATCACAACTATGAAACCGCATGAAAATTTCTCAGCGCAAATTTAAAGGTACACGTGAGAATCCTGTCGGAATGTGAGCCATTTCATGGACGTTCTCTAACTAATGATTGTAACTCCACAGGGCATGCGTTTGATATAGAACCTGTTCTTAACTTGTCCTGGCTAGTATTAAGATGTGATCACAAGGGCAATCCTTTTGTAATAGTTTGTTTCAAAAGCGAACAACTAGTGTAGTTATATGCCCTTGATTAAGTCATTTGTTTTAGTTTCAAAGAGCAGTCGATGAAAGAGCTAGGAAATTCCTACTATATTTGAACCAGAAGTTTGCAGAAGCTTGTTTTTACTAAAATCTGATCCCTTCATTGTGTAGACGAACGGTGTGGATTGCCAGAGAGCTGGTTATGGTCATTTCAGCGCCGGTATTAACCACTGTAAGACCAACAGTGGAGGAGGCGACGGCTGCAAGCGAGTAAAAACTGGATTAGATTATGGTTGTGGTCAATACCACGACTCGTGCTCAGAACCGCTTTGCTGCGGCTTTGGTTGCAAAGGTCCAGACTCCTGTGACTCAGGTAGGTCAAGCTTTATTGTCGGAGCTTATAGAGCTTTTGGTAGTGTGAAAAACCATCAAAGACGGGATGTCAGTCCATTTCAAACTAATGCTTGACTTAAAAATCTTATTTTCATTTCCTTCATAAGGTGTTTTCAAACGCCAGACGATGTACACGCCCGCTGCTGGCAATCTAGAGGGTTGTTCGTTCATGTCAGTAAGTAATTCAGGCGGCATCATGTGCTGCAAAGACGACAGTACCACTCCTACCTACCCCCCGACGAATGCACCAACTAAAGGTTCATGTGACTTCGAAAGAGGCATGTGTGATTGGATTGTTGATTCAACTGCCCCTGCAAGTTTTACACGAAACCAGGGAGAGACACAAAACAGAAACACCGGTCCACGCTATGATCACACTAAACAGGATGCGACTGGTAAGATTCCAGATTTCAGAATGCTTTTAATTAACAACCTTAAGTTAAAGCATATCGCTTAATTGTCTTTCGTTAAACCTATGATCGCCATCTTGAATTCGCTGAGCTGAGGAAAGCTGGCGAGAGCGGTAATCTTTTACTATGGGAGTGTTTGATATGCGGGAAGAACGAGAGGGGCATGAAGAGGAGAATCCTTGGTGGTGGATCATAAATAACAAGAGGATGATTCTGATTCATAGCCATTGCCGTTAGTCGTCTTC